TGATCCCTTATTCCACCAAGATGAGTGACCTGGCCAGATCAAGTCAATCAGCTGGTCTCCTTCGGGAGGCTAGGATCAATCAGTCATTAGTTGGTTTGCGTATACCCTCTCACCACCTCTGTAGCTGTTAGACATTAGCTCTAACATACAGTTTCTCCTTCTTGGACTCCATGGTGGGTGGGGGCGTGAAAGGGTGAAATAAACTGCTTTATATCATGGCAAATAACTTACCAAAACTTACATATAATGATGATGAACAATGCAAGGCACTGACTATGGCAGTCATTCTGAAGCCATTTATGGCTTCTAGTGGCAAGAGAAAATCAAAAGCACAGGCTGACTCTGTTAGACGTGCTGGTAAAATGGCCAAGGCAGAGGACTCATCACCCAAAAACATATCTGTCCATGAGATTCTCCAGCAGATGGGCTCTCGTGCTTGCCTCACCCAAAACAGGGAGACCTCTGACTTCCCTAACCAAGCAAGTCCTGGTGACACTGAAAGGAGACCCAACCACTACCCTTGATTTGGGTAATTGGGGCTCCTACAACCTCAGAACCTATGTGCCTGAGCCACTTCAGTGCTTCAAGTGCCAGAAATATGGTTACCACCAGGCTAGGTGCAAGGCCAAGCCCAAATGTGGTGTCTGCAGCAAGGCCCACAACATCGAGGTGTGCCTTAAGGCAAACGAGGAAGGCCAAAGGGACACAAAAATCAAAGGTGCCAAGAGGCATCATGCCTGGAGGCTGGCTTGTTCTGTCAGAAAGGAAGCGGACCTCAGGCGACAAGAGGTTGCTAAAAAACGACCAGACTTTGTTTCTGCTCCCCCAGGCACCGATATCTGGGGACAGAACAAAAGGGGAAAGGCTCCTCGACCTCCTAAGAGGAAGGAAGCAACTATCCAGCCGATACCAGACATCTGCAATGAAAGGGAAGCCCTTAAAAGAGTGCAGAAAAAGAACCAGAGGAATAGAGGTTCAAAGAACACTGCAATAGCCTCTCCAAGATAATATCATTTCTTTGATGGGGGAGGTATGGGGCTTTGGGGAGGTCAAGTGAGGAAGCAGAGAAGGTAGTCACGGTCGCCATGATGACAATGACCCAGACTGTTGCAGCCCTGAAAGGGAGGAAGCTGGACAGAGCCAAACCAACCCCTACACTACCTCAAGACGAAACTCCCCTCCCTACTCCAACTCTGGCCAAGCCCTCACATGCAGAGCCAAAATGGACTGAATCTGTGAAGACTGAGCTTACCCAGCTAAAGTCAACAAAGTACAAAAACACAAAGACAAAAACTGGAATAAGAAAAGCCCAGCCAACAAAAATCGGAGCTAACAAAGGCACTCCACCCCCCAGTGGACGCAGAGATAGCCTGACAAAAACAGATGAAGATCCCTCAATCAGTGAGCACTTCACAATGGAGTTGTCAAACTCACCAAGTAACATCATGGCACACAATATAAGAATACTACAGAGGAACATCAATGGCTTCAACAAGAAATGTCATCCTCCATGCAATAGTGTGATCAAGGAACACTGACATTGTCATGTTCCAGGAGACAATCATGTCTTGCTGCCAAGCACATCTGGCAAAAGAGGTGTGATCAGCGCAACAGTCCCCTGCTCTGCAATAGCCGATTCCCCGCACTGTGGAGACGATGTTGAATCTCTTGCTGTTGAAATTCACCTGGCCAGAGGGACCCCCAACCTATACAATGTGTACAGCAGGCCAGGCTGTAGGAACTTAGACATCAGCTAGGTCTGTGGTACTGCAGCACATGGCCGAGTGATCATAGGGGAGACTTCAATGCAAACCACCTCATCTTCTCGCCCTGCAGGGGACAGGATACGGTAGGCTATCACATAGCCAATGTCCCTGAGATCGCTCTTCTCAATACCCAAGATCCAACGCATGTCAGAGGAGCAGTCCTAGACCTCACCTTGGCCACTGCAGCTCTGGTGAAGAGAATCAGATGGTGTGTCGATGAGACTGTCACAAATGACTACCATGGCACTGTTATCACCCTTATGGATGCTAAGGCCACAGCATAATCCTAGATGGAAAACAGACAAAGCCAACTGGCAAGCCTTTCAGAATGCCTTGGTCCACTGTCTTAGATGCAATGAACCCTGACAGAGTGAAAATGTAGGTGTGCTTAAAGCCAGACTTATTAATGCCATAAATGAAGCAGCCTCACAAATCATACCTAAAACTTGGCCTTAGTCCAGGAGTTACAAAGATGCCTGGTACTTTAATGAAAAGATTAAGGAGTTCAACTACAGGGGGAACAAAGATGTACAGTAAACAATTCTGAAGGCAAAAGAAGAATAGAAAAAAAATAAAAAATAAATCCTAAGGGAAGTTGTCAGGGATGCAAAGGAAACTGCCAAAAGAGTCAGGCAGGAAAAGTGGCTGGAATGGTGTGAGTCCTTTGGCCACCAGACCAGCTTTACAGAGCTGTAGCAACGGGTCAGGCAAGCTAGCAGCTGCTCAGCCCCGAGGTGTACACACCATGACCCTCAATCAGAGGCAAACAGGCTGGTGTAAGAATTTTCTAACTAAGAAAAATATAAAAACAGTTGATGGGATCTCCTACCCCATCATTTCCCACCTAAGACTGGCATTCCTGCAACTCATCAACATGTCCTGGGAAATTTCTACTCTACCCCAGAGTTGGTAGAGAGCTGACATAGTTCCCATCCCAAAACTAGAGGAGTCAAGGAAGTACCACCCTATCTAACACCTCAGCTGTCTGGGTAAGATGGCCGAGAGAATGGTATTAAACCAGCTCCAAAGGAAAATAGGACCCACATGAACACTTCCATGGGTTCACAAGGGACGTAGCCACGCGCATAAGCACAGGCAGCACTGTAACATCTGTGGTAGTATTCCTAGACCTTTAGGAGGCTTTTGAATTAGCCAGTCCCCTTGCTATTCAGGGGACCCAGCCCCGGAAGGGAATCAGAGTAAAGCTCTTGACCTGGATAGGTGACTATTTTAAGAACAGAACAGCTAGAATCAGAATAAAAGGTCACCTATCACAGCACATGTCAATAGAAAGTGGGATCCTCAGTCCAGTCTTCCAATAATGCAGGGTAAGGATTGATTAGACCCTCTCCTTCCTAAAGGAGATCCAGTACCTGGCTGACCGAGCCAAAGCAAGACTGTCTGTCATGAGAGCAATGGCTAAGAGACACATAGGAGCTATGTACATGCTGTCTATCCCATTGTGGACTATGCTTCTGTCGCCCTGATTGCCACAAAGCCAAGACCAAGAGAATAATTGGAGACAGTTCAAAATGAAGCTGACAGGATCATTCATCCTCCTTATGAAGGTAAACCTTCTCTCCCTGGACTCCCGAATTGATCTAATGGCAGCACAGTTCCTTTAAAAAGTTATCGAGGCACCCGGGAACACAAGCATTAGACAAAATATACTCAGATGCCTAGAACAAGATTGTGATCTCTTTGCAAACACATCTTGACTGTCACACACAGCCAGGGTGTTGATACGCTATCAGCTCAAAGAGCAACTACTTGTTAAGGGCATGGACTTCCCCCACCCTGATTTAATTGAAGCCTCACCGTGGGCACAAACATTGATGGAGTTCTCTGTTGTGAACTTGTCAAGGAGATAGAACCAATACCCCATCCCTAGTCTAAAGTCAGAAGTGAGAGTCATTGTAACCCACAATGCAAGTGCCGGCTTTGTAGCAAGGGATGCCACAAAATCTATGAGGGTAACAGACACTACAGGTGCTACAGCCAGAGGCAGTTACGATCATGGGAGCCCTAGCCCACACATCCCTCAGGGAACGACACGTGATCATACATACAAATTCCAGGGCAGTCACTGATTGTCTACAACACAGCATACCCAAACACATCTACCTCCTGAACACTGTGCTTAACATAGCACAGAGGATTCTTGCTCATGATAGAGGAATAATCATAAACTGCGTCCCCAGCCACATAGGTATCAGAGGGAATGAGCTTGCTGACAGACTAGCAGACATTGGCAAGGGTATGCCCCCAATTCCCATGATCATTAAACCAAGCTGAAAAATCTTAAAGCACAGGTTCAGTGCCACAGCACTTGTCATTCTCTTGCAGCTTCATAGAGAGGAAACAAGAACCTCCCCCTTGGCCAAATGGTACTCGGACACCATAAGCTATGAGCCACTTGCTCTCACTGAAACAATCAGTAGAGGTGCCGAGGTCATTTCTCGCAGAATCAGACTAGGTTACCAATGTGCATGGCAAATCATACAAACAATTGACTATGCAAACATGGTAAGTATCAAGTGTCTGACAACCAAATGACACAAGCAAGGCCTGGATGAAACTAAATTTTCTCAAATCTCAAATGACACAACAATAATCTGCAAGACATTCATCGGCTAGGCACCGACTATAGAACATCCTGTTTTATTTCCTTAATAAAGAGTAACTTGACTTACTGTATGTTTACTTATAACGACAATGGTGAGCCATAGGGAACCCCACATCCCTCTTTAGTACAATTTGTGAAGACAGATGTGAAAAAAACAAGCTAGATTAAAAATATTGATATAGAAAGAAATAGTGATAGACAGTGACAGAAAGGGAGAACGGACAGACAGACATACATGGAATGTAGAGAAGTGAGAACAGAAGCTCTGGAAATCCCATCCACTCACCATTGGCATGAGGGCTACATTCTGCTGTTGGACATGGATCAGGTTAGAATTCCCTTCAGAATGATTCACTCCATCGTCCAAGATTCTGGCGTTGGTCTCTGGAAATGGCAGCAAATCCAGTCACATGAATAACGTGTAAAATTTAGTTATAAAGTAATCTAGTAGTTCTTATTTCATATGACACACAATGGAAGTTATCATGGATAATCCATTCACGAAATAGGCTTAGAAGACGGAGACTGAGGCCCACTGTAGAGGATCACCCTACCTTGGACCTCGCCTCAACCAATTTTGTATAGTCTTTTCTTCTCCCTCTTTTCTTTTCTTAACTTATTCTGTCCACTTCCTAAGGGGTGAGAGCCATGCTGAAAGGATGAAAGGCTGGCTTTGTGTCAGTCCTGAATGGTCTCCTGGAGCCATGGGCATGGTATTCCCTTGGTCAATTGTCTAGCCCTTACACTTTATGGAGACCATTTCCTTTCCTCACATATGTCAGGCTCACCATGGCCAATAATGAAGATTTTTTACCCTTATTAGGGACATTAAGGCTTGCCCCTTTATCAACTAGCCTATCTAAATTTGATTTATCTGGTTTTCCGACCCTTGCCTCTCCTTTGACCACTGTTCCAACCATTGATACTAATACTCCCTCCCTCTTGAAAAAAAAACAATCCATTCCGAATCACCAATCCAGGTCATTACTCAACTTTCAGAATGCACCTCTCCCTCTCTCCCAACATCCTCCACTCCATTTCTTATTGCACAGTCTTCTTTATTGTCTACTCCCCTCTCCCCTTGTTACTACTCTTCATCCTTATTGTCCTCCTCCCTGCAGTACTACCTCACTCCACACCACCCCATCTTCCTCCCACCCTAGTCCTTCTACTGTTTCCAGCTCTGCAAATCTTTTGAGAACCCGGGACCTTGCAATCGCAAGGTCCCGGGTTCGCGCCCGGCCGCCGCCCCTCTCAGTCGACTCAGCTGTGAATGAGTACTGATATGATGACGTCAGCATGTCAGGGTCAAATTCGTGGCGGAAAGGAACTGGCCACCCTACCGCATCATCCCGCGGCCTAGTAAGCATGTTTCTCTGCGAACATGTCCCCTATGTTCACATGGACATGGGACAAAAAAAAAAAAAAAAAAAAAAAAAAGCGGGATCAATTCTTTGTGATTCCCCCTATAGCTCCTTACCCAGAGTGCCCTTCTCTTCCAACAGTCTTCAAGAACAAGTAGACAAAGTTTCCTTCTGCAGTCGTTTTCTTTGTTCAGGCTTTGTCACAGTACATCTGAGGGCCAAGCTCGTGCACTATCTATCGTGATTGACCTCACTAGAAAACCTTTTCCTGACGAACCTCACTCTTCTCTTAATACTTGTCCCCGACTGACTGACGGACTGGCAGACTGAGAAAACGACCTGCTCACCTGCCTTGTTGACTATGATGTCGTGGAAAGGCTACACTATTCTTCCCAGAAGCCAGCGTAAGTCCTACATTAATATTGCCAGGATTAGCTTCCATAGACATTACCTCGCCCATGAAGTTTATTTTGGTGGAGTGTCTTACCCTGTCTGACCATCTAGACCCAGCCAAACACTGTCGCTCCACAGCCCACTGCCTACTACGTGCCCAACCTGGTCAGGACTGTTCAAATTGCTCATACATTCACGCGCATGTGCCAACTGTGGCAGCTCCCATGAAATATTTTATAGGAACTGGTCTGCCTACAAGCTGGAATCTGAGGTAGCAGTTCTCGGATTCAAACTAGACAGGAAGCACGCTAAGGTTTTTTTCTCTCTACCCAGTTCAAAACTGTCCTTCACTCTGCTTCCCTCCCATCTCAAGATGTCTCAGCATCTCCCGCAATATCTCTCCCGCTACCCCTAACCATCCTACTTCTATTCACTCTCTCCCCCATTCTCCTTTTCCAGTCTAAATCCAGATACTCCAATCTCTACCTTTTTCTTGATGCCTAACCCTCCTCCTTCTCATTTCACCTGTTGCACTAAATGTTCCACCCCACCTTCTCCTACCACATTCTCTCCTTCACCCACCTCTTCCTCTTCTCCTCACAATAAAACCTTTGTTTCTCAGACTTCCTCTCGCAACTCCCTACCAGAAACTCTTGAAGACATCCAAAACTTCCTAAACATGACCCAAGAAAATGATCGGCTCCATCATCCCCTTCCAATCCCTCTCTTCTTATACCCTCTACATTCAAAGTCTTCTTCTTCTTCTTCTTCTTCTCCTGGCTTAATTCCCATTTCTGGGGTCGCCGGTGCAGATCATCTTCTTCCATCGCTTCCGGTCCAGTGCGTCCTCCTCCATCACTCTCACAGCCTTCATGTCCTCACCTACGCAGTCCATCTCCTCTTTGGTCTTCCTCTCCTCCGCTAGCCCACTTCCATCCTCCTCACCCGATGTGTCTGCATCTTCATAAAGTTTGGCAAATTTTTTTACGACCGGATGCCCTTCTTGCCGTCAACCCTCACCAATTTATCCGGGCTTGGGACCGGCTTCTTTCCAGGCCAGAGGAGGCTCCCGTAACCCAACTGCAGCAGCAGCGGGCCCAATAGGTGGGCTTCCAACCCGAGCCAAGCACCCTCAACCTGTACTGGTACCCTCTACATTCAAAGTATATGACAATATCCATCCTCCTCCTCCTCAAATTCCCTCTACCCTCTTCCACAAACTCTCCCAGAACACCAACCTCTCCTTCTCCATATACACTACCATTCCCTCTTTATTCCCCGCTATCCTTACCACTCCCACCTGTATGCTCACGTCGCAACAGTCTCCTTCTCCGGATCCTTCCCCTCCTGA